AGGAAACTAAGGCTGACACCTTCTCACAGTGAGAATAGGAAAAAAGGAACTTGCCAACAGGTTGTACCACATGAGATGTGTCCCAACATCCTGGAAGCACTAACGCAGCTTGGGCTCAGGATACCCTCTAATCCTAGTCTGTCTCACTGCTGTATTCATACATGTGGTTTAACCTTCATTTTACTGAGTTACTGTACACATAAAATGTGGACATTTCCCTTATACAAGGGATTAAAGAAATGTATCTCAAGCCAGATATGGTGGCACATACCTGTAATCCTAACACTCAGGAGGCTGAGTCTATAAATTATATAACAAAACCCTGTGTCAGAGATGAAAGAAGGTCCTATTATGGTCTATTCCCTAGAATCACAACCAGATGTACACTAATAAACTGCACTTTTGGCTGGTGTGTTCTAGAAACTGGGCCCAGATAAAGGCTCTAACATGAAACTTTGTGCCTCAGGTTTGTTTGAAATCCATGGAACAACAGTAGTCCCCACTGTGAGTATTCTATCCCCAGAAAAGCTGTCAGCCAGCACCCGGAGGCGACATGAGACTCAGGTACATCACACCTACCTTTCTCTGACTTTTTATTTATTTTTTTTTTTTTTTGCTTGCTTTTATTTTGTGTATGTGTGTATGTTGTGTACTACATGTATGCCTCATGCCCTTGGAAGCCAGAAGTGGGCAATTTAGTCCCCTAAAAATGAAGCTGCAGATGATTTTGAGTGGATGTATGGGTGCTGGTGCTGGAAACTAAACCTGAGTCCTCTGGAAGAATAGCCAGTGCTTTTAACCATTGAGCCATTTCTCCAGCCCTGTGTCCTTGGCTTTCTAACAAGAGCTACAGAGAAGAAAGCAACAGGAAAGAAATATAAAGATCCCCCTCCCCCCCCTCCTCTTTGCTAACCTAGTGTCCTTTGAAGATGTCAGCAGAAGTCTCTGGTGCCATAAATCAGCCCACCTGTCCACCAAAGATGTTGGCGTATAGGCAGCAATTGTCAACAGATGACCCATGCCTGGCAGCTGGAAGTGGCTTGTTTCTCTTGTAAATAAGAGCATTTTTAGGCCAGTCACAAGAGTTTCTCATCCTAAACATGATTTTTGTTTGTTGTATACCTGTGCTAAAGCCATGTGTTTATCCCTACACGCATGTGCACTGAGCAGTTAAGAAAACAAAAGTGACAGAAAGGCAAGTTAAATATGTTGAATGTGAGTGATAAGAGTGTGCCATGAACATACTAGGAGAGGATATTAAGAGCATTTGCCCTTTATTATTGCTGTTTTAGATTTATGGGGGGGTTTCCCTTTGGGTTTTTTTTTTTTTTTTTTTTTTTTTTTTTTTGGAGACAGGGTTTCTCTGTACAGCCCTGGCTGTCCTGGAACTAGCTGTGTAAACCAGACTGGCCTCGAACTCAGAGATCCACCTGCTTCTGCCTCCCCAGTGTTGGGATTAAAGGTGTGTGCTACCACTTCCCAAATGTTAAGAGCATTTGTAAACCAGTTGTGGTGTGCACCTATGATCTCAACTACTTGGGAAGATGAGGCCAATGTGGGTAACATAACAAGTCCTAAAATCAATCTCTCCCTTGACCGCCAATGAATATCAAATCTTTATGTTCTGTTTGGCATCCTTCCTAAACCCTAGCTTTGTCACCTTGCTGTTTTCTGGAATGGGAAATAAGATGGCTTGGTTTAACATACTCTGAACTCCACTTTCTTTCTAGGTACAAACCCGACTTCAAAGTACTCTTGCCAATTTACATCAGAAAAGCAGTGAAATTGAAATTTTGGCTGTAAGTCACTTTAACAATTTGAAGCTAGCATCGGTCTGCATTATGTAGTGTGGCCTCAGGGCTTTCTTTGTTCTCAGCTGTATCTGGAATCAGACCTGGCTGTTCCTGCCATGAGTGACAGGAGGCAGCCTAAAGCTAGACAGAGCTGGGGATTAAAGGTTGTGTTCATCTCTTCTTTTTAAGGCCACAGTCACATTCAGGCCTTACTAAAGCACATGTGCCTGTTCATACCTCTGGGGTGTGGGTGTGAAATCTGGAAATCCAGCCTCAAGCATTTGTCAAAGTCGGCTTTAGGGGCTGGGAAGATGGATCCATGGTTAAAGCACTTGCCATGCAAGCATGAGGACTGGGAATCAGATCCCCAGAACCCACTTAAATGCCTACAATTCCAACCTCAGAAGGCAGGCTTGCAGACTAGGCACATGAGCCAGCTCTGGACTTCACTGAGATTGCCTCAAAGAATAAGATGGACAGCAGCTGAGATAATTCCAGTATCAACCTTGGGCTTTCACACATGCACGTGTGCCTTCGGTGGGAGGGGGAAGGGGACCTCATATCACAGCATTCAAATCAGCCCTATTCATATCATCCACACGACACCATAGTCCCTAGTCTGTGTGTGCTGCTTAAGACTTCTTAGTAAACGATGTACATTTCTGTATATTAACAGGTGGATCTACCCAAAGAAACAATCTTACAGTTTTTATCCTTAGAGGTAAGCATGGAAACTCTTCTACACTGTGACATTTGCAGTTCTGTCAAAGGAAAACTGGAAAAAGTTCTTAAATTTCCTAAGTAATTGTGTCTATCTCGAAGCATTGAGAATTTAGCTGATAACATTGGTCTTTCTGTTAGTATGTATTATAGACATTCCTGAACCACTAAATATCAGAGCCAGGACATGAGCCTGGCAGACTAGTGTAATCTAGGTTCATACCCACAATACCAGGTGTTTCCCAAACAAACCTTCATCCCAGCTAAGGACTCACAACTACATAGAAAAGTCTATTGTAAAAAATGAAAATTTAGGTCAGTTAATTTGTTTACAGGCCTATACCTCTATACATTTTTTTTCCATTTTTAAAAATTTGAATTTTCCCATTTGAAGTAAAATAATCATAGCTACAGGTGGTATTTATTTAGTTAGTTATTTACAGAACAATATCTTACCAGGTAGCCTGTCTTAGTTTGTTTCTGTAGCTAAGATTAAACAACAACCAAAAGCAACTGGGGATGAAAACGTTTGTCACCTTTTGCAAACTAGAGTCCATGATGAAGGAAAGCCAAGACAGGAACTGCAAGGCAAGAAGGAACCACTGAGGCATGGAGGAGGAATTCTGCGATCCACTGGCTTGCCTGCTTATGTGGCTCAGGCCCACCTTCCCAGAGTAGTACCACCCACAGTGGCCTAGTCCTCCCACATATATTGCTAATCAAATAAATGCCCCAGAGGCTGATCTGCTACAGCCAATTCCATTGATGGTCCCTCTTTCTAGGTTAGCTTGTGTCATTAACAAAAGCAGCACATAGCCCAAACTTGCCTTGAAATGTAGTAGTACTCCTGCCTCAAGCTCCCAGGAGTGATCTTCAAGAAAATTGATGCCTCAAAGGACGAACCCCTCTGTCTCCCCATAACCCACTCTCCTGATCCAGAAAGGGCCAGGCAATATCCCTGCTGATCTGATGTCAATCTGATCTTTCCTAGTGGGATGCTGATGAACAGGCATTTAATACAACTGTGAAGCAGCTACTGTCACGCCTGCCAAAGCAAAGATACCTCAAACTCATCTGTGATGAAATTTATAACATCAAGGTTGAAAAGAAGTAAGTTACAGCAGGTTTCATGTGGTTAAAATTCAGAAGTGTGATTGACAGCCAATAAGTCCTACCCAGATGATGAATCATAGTGTGGATCTTGTCATAACAAGACACGATGCCCCTGAGTATAGCTGTCCCAATTATGTTGTTCACCCAGTTCCCTTAATTCTAAAAGTATGTTGGCCTTTTCACATCGGGGGAGAATTGTGTGTGGCATGTGAAGGCCTGAGGTTCATGTCACTTTCCTCACCTTTACTTTTTGACGGGGTCTCCCTCTGAACCTGAAGCTCATCAGATTAGCTAGACTGGCATCAATGAGTTTTAGGAACCCACCTATCTCCACCCTCTCCAAGGCTAGAGTTATAGGCATGCACCTCTCTGCCTAGCTTTTTAATATTGGGTCTAGGGATCCAAACTCAGTGTTTGCTTGGCATACACTTTACCAGCTGAGCCATCTCCCAAGACCATAGCACTTGGGAAGTAAAGTCCCAACTCCAGGATGGCTTATGCGCTTTCTAGTAATCGGTCTCCCATCACATTCAGACAGTGTTGTTTTACCCCACTGAGTCTGCCTGTCCCTCTCCTTTGCAGGGTGTCGGTGTTGTTCCTGTACAGCTACAGAGATGACTACTACAGAATCCTATTTTGACCCTGAGGAACTGTTGGTGCATTGTTCAAATGGACAGAGGCTTATACTGGAATAATGGAATGTTGTACATTCAATTCATTTTAACTTAAATTCTAATAAGCTGTTACAAAGTTGAGCTTTGTCAGTTTTTCATGTATGTTATAAATTTATCTTTTGGATACAATAAATGCTTTCATATGTATTTTCCAGTTGCAATTCTGTCAACACTAGAGGTTATATGGGAGCTGGAAAAGAACAGCCTTTTTCTTCCCTTGATCCTAAACACTAAACACATGATTTTCAAAGTGGATAAAAAGACAGAGATCAAGAATCATCACTTGTGGTCTGTTTTGCCTCTTTAGTTGGGGGTGAGAGTACAGAACAGGGTCTCAAACTTAAAATCAGCATGCCTATAGACCACTGAAATTACAGGCTTGTGCCACCATTCCAGGCAGAATCTTTATTCTTGATTCTATAATATTTATTCTATTGTCATTAAGGAAACACCTGTTTGGCTATTAGAACTCAGACTTGCTGATGGAATTGTAAGATTAGACAACAAGGTCCAGGGAGATGGCTCATCGGTAAAGATACTTGCTATGAAGTCCAATAATTTTGAGTTCAATCCCAGGATACATGTGGTAAGAGAGAACCAATCATACAAGTTGATGCTGTGGCACAGAGCAAATGTGTGCATGCACACAAAAATAAATGTAATTTTTTTAAATTATACAACCAAGTAAAAAACCCACCCACAGGATAACATGACTTTTAATAAAACTGTCAGATTCCTATTACAGATTCTCAAAGACAGGCAAAAACCATTGAGTAACTGTATCATTTTAGAGTTAGTAGTTACTGTCAGGAACAGGGTAAGTAAACAAAGAAACTGCTAGCATGGATGGACTTGATGATGCACAGCTCTTCAAAGATGACCAGACACTTTAAGGCTGGTGTCTAAGAGTATCCAGCCATGCAATGAAGATCTAAAACAAACTGGCTTCTTACCAGTTTAGAAGGGTTGATCATCCAACCCTTCTTTCTTAAACAACCCTTACATGAACAGTTACAGAGAGTGCCAAAAGCAGAAACACAGGTACCCGCACTTCAGCTGGTCGGTAATAACCACGCCTGTCACTGTGCTGGTTTGGTCTTCTTACTCTTGTTCTTCTTGTCCCTCTTCTTCAGCCCATCCATGTTAGCTCTCAGTAGGTTTGAATAGGCCTGGAAGCCAGAACATGACCTTAGCAGGAAAAGGTACAAACTGGGGAAGCAGCTGACTTTTCCACAGTGGAGTAAAGAGTAGCCAGCATCAGAAAGCCCCCTGGGACCCCACAGGCTGCACTGGAAACTGGTATGCCTCAGAAAGCCTTCACCCCTTCAGCACTCCTGAGACACTCCTCCACAGGAAGCTGCAGGCTCTGCACTCTTTTCAAGCAAAAAGGGAAAACTTCTGGCAACTTCCTATTCAACACTATTATAGAGTATATCTGAAGTTTTAAGACAAAACTAGCCTTAAAAACTCAAAGAAAAAAACCACTGCTAAACAATATTCATAAACACCACAGGTAAGAAGTGCCAGTCCCTACCCTGACCAGTGCCCACCCTTCTGGAGGAGGAATGGAGAACACAAGGAAATAGAACTTACCATCTGAAACTTATTCACCTCTTTGGAACTCACCTGGAAAGGAAAAAGATCACCTCTTTATAGACAGAACACCACCTATTTCGCCCAGATAGGAGCTCAAAATACTTCATCTAGAAAACACCCAGGCCAGGCATGGTGGCACATACGCCTTTTGATCTCAGCACTCTGGAGGCAGACCTCTGAGTTCCAGACCAGCCTGGTCTACAGAGCAAGCTGCAAGACTACAAAGAGATCCTGCCAACGTGCAAAGCAGCTGTGCCTTCTTCCACATAAGAACTACACCAGGATGGTAGGCTCCCACCAAACCTGTGCACCTTTAAAAACCCCTCAGACAAGCCCACTCTGGTAATCCCAGTCCCAGCAACTGTGAGGCAGAGATAGCAAGACAGCCTTTAAGTTTAAGGTGAGAAAAACCTTATACAGATGCCCCAGAGTGTTTTCCTAGAATTCTGATATCAAAGGACTTCATGTTAATTAAAACAACTCCATCAGCTGAGCAGCATGGTGGCACTGGCCTGGACTCCCGGCACTCAGGAGGCTTGAGGCTGAAGGATAATGAGTTTCAGACCAGTATGGGCTAGGTAGCAAGAACCTGTTGTCTCAAAAAAGAAAAAAACTTTGTCCTTCCAGAAGAATCCTCAGTTTCTTATCTGTGACAGCCAACCATAATAGCTACATGAACTTGTTTTACTTTTAAAAGTCTTCTCAAGATAACTCATAGAGGAAGACATCAGTTATTGTCTGCAGTTTCTTGAGTATCCTGAACGAATGTGATTACAAGTGGTCCATAGCATTGAGCCCTATTCCCTGTGAGTCAGGAATGTGTTCTGCCATACTCAACCTCTCAGAAAAAGACCACAGTTCTTGACTATAATTTCAAGTACCAAGCCTAACCTGTAGATACATTTGCTAAATGAACCACAAAAACAAAGGGAAATCAGCTTAAAAATAATCATCTAGCCAGGCCACGGTGGTACATGCCTTTAATCCCAGCACTCAGGAGGCCAAAGCAGATATCTTTGTGAGTTAGAGCCAACCAGTGCTGTTACACAGAGAAATTCTGGGGGGGGGGGGGGAGGCGGAGGAGCGCCGAGGAAGGGGGAGGCTGGGGGGGATCATCTAATACCCAGAAATTTTTACTGAAGGCCTAGCATAGAAAAGAAATTCATCAATCATTCTTCATAGCAAATACTAGACTGATTGACCCATAAACCCACTTTATTTCCATAGAAAGTTCAGCAAAACAAGCACTTGACCTCTATTTTCTACTTTAAAAGTTTATATATTGTTGATAATTTGTACTACAAAATATAGTAACTGGAAAGGGGGGTGCACACCTATGATCCTACCACTTTGGAGACAAGCAACAGAGCCAGGAGTTCAAGGCCATGACTAGCTACATAATGAATCTGAATTATATGAGACCTCATCTGAAACAAACCCCTCCACACAAAAACAAGAGGGCCCTAATACCAAACAGCCTGGGAGAGACGGGCCAAAAATGAAAGGGAGGGGGAACCTAATTTAGACATGGCCCTCTTCAGTTAATGTAGTTTTAAGACACAGTTCAGGAGGCTGGTGGTGTCGCTTAGTAACAGGGTGATGACTGGGCACAATAAAGACCCTGCAGGGATTCAATCTCTAGACCCACAGAAATCATCACTGTATCTGTCTCAGCTGATAACATGCACTGTGACCCCAGCACAGGCTGAAGCACCTGCTGTGACAGTCCTACATCACAGGTTCAAAGTCAGCTGAACTACACAGCAAGACCCTACAGTTCTTAAAATTCAGTTTACTAGCTGGCTGTGGGATAGGTTGCACCTGTACCTCGGCTATTTGCGAGAAGATTAAGTTTACGGCCAGGCAGACTTAAAAGAAAACAAAGCAGAAAAGACAAAGTCTCCAGCTCACCACTGTGCTGATCTTCCTTTTCCCATCCGTGGCTCTCAACAGACACTTGTTTTCTGCGGGCTCAACGCTCTCCACAGAACTCTTCCGTGGAGTGGGTTTGGTGCGACCATCATCTGCGTGTTAAAAAAAAAAAAAAAAAATTACAACCTGGTGAACACCGCCACATGCGTTGCTGCCGGGTCCAAAGTGGAAAACAGGAGAGGAGGGTAACAGGGTGACCCAATCCACCATCACAGCTCTCGACTCCCATAAACTCACCACACTCATCATCACTCATGTGGTCTGGATATATGGCCAATCGTGGGAGCAACGACTTGACGCTGCGACCCCTGGGCACATTCGACCTCACTAACGGCGCGGGGGCCGGGCTGCCTGACAGAACGTGGGCGTCTGACACGCGTGGGGCCCCCGCGGCCGCCGTGCGTGGGTGCCGGGGGCCGCACCGGCCACTTCCTGGCACTGCCCCGACCCTGAGCCCCGTGCCGGGATGCCGGGGACGACGCTGCCCCTCCCAGCCGTTCTCCCGCGCGGCCCCGGGTGCTGCTTACACTTCTTCAGGGTGATGTACACGCTGCCCGACGACCGGCACTTCTGGAAGAGCCTGGTCAGCTCCGTCAGGAACTGCAACACAACACGCCCGGTTAGGCAGCCTCCAGTCCTCGCCCCGCCGCGTCACGGCCCTGGCCCGCCCGCAAAGGGGGAAACGCGACCCGAGCTGACCCCACTCGCTCGGGTCCCCGGCCTTCCATCCGGGCAGCCGCCGGTACCTGCTCGCTCTCGAGCAACACCATCCTGGTCCCCGCCGGTTCCGACTCCGTCAGCAGAAGACGCCGCAAGCGGTAACAACCGGAAGTCTCGCCCGCGGCGGGCGGAGCTTCCGCTTTTAGTTGCAAGTCTTCCGCCAATCCCTGCCGCGCTCCGTCTACCTTGCGCGTGTGCCCTCGGACCCCGCCCCCACCACAGACACACCCTTCAGTCCGACAGACCGGGATGAGAAATAAGCTGCACGTGTACCTCAGTTACTTGGGAGAAGATTAAATTCACCGCCAGACAGACTTAAAAGAAAACTAAGCGGAAAAGACAAGACTCCAGCTCACCATGGTCCTTGGACCCTTTGGGTCCTTGGACTGCCAGGCCTGCCATGCTTCACCCCAGGCTGTGTGTGTGGGAGAGAATGAGAGCGAAAGAGAGACTTGATAGAAACATGTATGTTATCCAAGAGTCCATTGCCTCAGTTTCCTTATTTTAAAGTGAGGATGACAGTATCCCTTTCACAATATGGCTGTGAAGAGCAGATGAATTTATATTGAAATATAGAATAGTGTCTGGTACACAGAAGTACTAAGCTTAGTCACTGTTCTATTGCTGTGAAGAGACGCCATGACCAAGGCAACTCGTATAAAAGAAAGCATTTAACTGGAAGCCTGATTCAGAGGTTAGTCCATTACCATCATGGGTAAGGACCATGGCTGGACACAGGCAGACATGGTGCGGGAAAAGTAGCTGAGAACATCCTGACAGACTCTGGGACTAGCTTGAGCTTTTGAAACCTCAAAGCTCCTCTCCCCCAATCCCCAACACACACACACACACACACACACACACACACACACACACACTCACACTTCCAACAAGGCCAGACCTCGTTTTTTTTTTGTTTGTTTGTTTGTTTGTTTTTTGTTTTTTTGTTTTGTTTTGTTTTTGAGACAGGGTTTCTCTGTGGCTTTGGAGCCTGTCCCAGAACTAGCTCTTGTAGACCATGCTGGTCTCAAACTCATAGAGATCCGCCTGCCTCTGCCTCCGAAGTGCTGGGATTAAAGGTGTGTGCCACCACTGCCCAGCCAATTAATGCCTCTTAATCCTCCTAATCCTTTCAAGCAGTACCACTCCCTGGTGACTAAGCATTCAAATAGATGAGCCTGTGGGGTCTGTTCTTATTTCCACCGCATCATTGCCACTCTCAAACAACAAATGTTTATGCAGTCCTAGAACCCCAGACCTTGTGTATGCTAGGCAAATAAATACTTTACCATTGAGCCACATCCCCATCCCAAGTCAAATAATAAAGGTAAACTTCTCTAAGCAGGCTTGGTGGCCCTAAAGTGCAACCCCCAGTTCTAACAAAAGTGACCAAAGTCCAGGCCAGTTACCTCCAGGTTTAGTTAGGAGGCCAGGGCTCTAGGCCCTATTCTGTTGCAAGCCAACTTGAACCCTGGGCCTTTGTAAGGGCGAGTATTCAATCCTGAAACAGGCTTTTGGTGAGTGCTCGTTAGCCTGTGCCAGGTACTTGTAGGGTGTGGAAATACAGCAGTGCATGAAACACACTAAGGTCCGGGGTTCCTTGAACGTGAAATAGCAAGTGAGTAGCTGAGCTTCAAATAATAAACACTGTACAGACAACTAAGAAGGGCTACAGTGGCAGTGACAGGAACCTCTTTAAGTGGTGGTCAAGGGAGCTTCCCCTGAAGAGGATAACTGTGAGCTGAAGGATAAAGGGATCAGACATCCAAAATTCCAGAGGCACAGACTTGCAGGCCAAAGGAATGTCTAGAGCAAAGACCTCGAAGTAGAAACCAGTTGCTCTGTGAGGAAGGTCAGGTGAGGGGTGTGTGTGTTAAGAGAGAGCAAAAGAGAAACACAGCTCAGACTAACACCAGGATTCTGAGGACTTCCCTGATTAAGAATCTCCATTCAAACAAAACCCAATCCTTGATTACACCACAGAAAACTTTAGTTCAGAGTTATAGTGAAGCATTAGCCAAATTTAAAGTAGAGATAATAGTGTATACATGCTTTAGATTTAAGAACCAGGGTTTAGAAAGATACTTAGGAGAAGCAGGGTGCACAGCCCCAAGGTGTATGCCTTGTGTATGGAGAGAGAGACAGAGAGAGGCATCTTTACAAAGAATATATACATATATATGTCTTTTTGTGATTTTTGAAGTTACATCATTCAAAGTATAATTTTAAAAATTTAAAGATTAACAGTGTTTAAAAATGGGTGCCACACTGGGTGGGCAGCAATGTCTTTAATTCCAGTATTCCAGAGGCGATCTCCATGAGTTTGAGGCCAGCCTGGTCTACAGAGTGAGTTTCAGGACAGCCAAAGCTACACAAGAAAAAACCCTGTCTCAAAAAAACAAAAACAAAAGTTTACAAAATAAGCTGCTTTGCTTAGGAATTTCTATTGTAAGTGAGATGGTAAGGTGGTTTTATGGGGTATATTGTTTACATTCAGGAAGAAGACAGCGAGGTTGTGGTATCTTTAGAAAATATTACTACCTCCCCCTGTGCAGGCAATGTGGATCTCTTCAGCAGTGTCAAGTTTCTCAACACTTATCCAGAAAGAACAAGCTAGACCCCAGGCAAAGGTTCTTTTCCTCTTCTCGAGCACTCAGCTTTTTTTCTTTGTAGCCTATTCAGAGGGAGAGGAGAGCATGAGGGAAGGGAGTGAGGGAGAGTGGAGAAGCAGCCAGTGACCACATCATATAGGGCCCATAGCCACAGGAAATCTGCCATCTCTCCAGTCCCCGGTCCTTTGTTCTTAAGAGGGGAGCACAAGGAAAGTGTGATGATCAAAACATAGGCATAGGCTGGAGAGATGACTCAGTGGCTAAAAATATATGCTGATCAAGCAGAGGACCTGGGTTCAGTTCCCAGCATCCAAATGGCAGTTCACAACTGTCTGTACCTCCAGGTCCAGGGAATCCAATGCCCTCTTCTGGTGTCTGAGGACAACAGGCACACAGATGATACATAGAAGCACATGCAAGCAAGACACTCATACACATAAATAAAAAATAAATCTTTTCTAAAAATGTTTAAAGCCTAGTCATGAACCAGGCATAGTGGCACATACCTGTAATCCCAGAACCTAGGAGACTCAGTGGATTCCAAGTTTAAAGCTAGACTGGGTTACATAGCAAAACCCTGGTTCAAAAACAAACCAAAAAAGATAGTGACTATAGGCAGACTTTTCTATCCCACCAGCCGCTCCCCAAATAACCAGAGACTTAACATCAATTAAAAATGTTCATCCCATAGCTTAGGCTTGCCACTAACTAGCTCTTACAACTTAAATTAACCCATTTCTATTCATCCGTGTGTTGCCCCAGACTCGTTTACCTCATCTATGAATTCCCCATGTTGCTTCTTCCACATCTGCCTCATGACTCCCCAGAGTTTGCCCTTCTTCTTCCCAGCATTCTCTCTGTCCTGAAAATCCTGCCTAGCTATTGGCCAATCAGCTTTTTATTAACAATGAGAACAACATGTCTTCACAGTGTACAAAAGGATTATTCCACAGCAAATGACCCCTTCCTACTTGGCAAAATTTGTATGTCATGTCTACCTCTCTTATGTAAGTGGCTGGAGACAAATTATAGGAATCCTGATAAGATGTATTTTTTAAGAAAATGAAATTATGATCATATTTTAAGATTACTATTAATAAGGGAACTGAGTAGATGTAACAGTTCATTCAAAGGAAAATATAAAGACCAGACACATTTATAAAGCAGGAATTTACAAAAATTGCAAGTCTGTAAGAGAAAACAAAGTTGAATTTTGCACAGGAAGAAGGTCAGAGTTGTCCCTCCACTCAGCAGACTATGTCTATCTAAGCATAAAAACCATCTGGGATGCCATGGGTCATCTTTGACCTAATGAAACAACCGGCTAGAATCAGCTAGCCCTGAGGGATGCTGTCCCAACAAAGCAGCCTTTCCCTTTGAATAAAAACACACTAATCCTTGTTTTGCTTTGGATTTTCTTATTACATTGTCAAAACTGTATATAAAAGAACTGGTGAAACAAGTTACTCTTTTTTTCCCCTTATAGTACAAGTTTCTCTTTGTAAAGTGGGACAGCATTAAAGGTACCTCATGGTGCTCCAAGGCTGCCAAAGGACTCCTTGCCAGCAGGTGCACAGCCCATCACTAGCAGCCATTCTCCCCAGGTCAGGCTGCTCTAATAAAGCAGGATGTCTGCCTCACTCAGCCAAATGTGGATACCAACTCAGTTCAGGGCATGAACTGCTAGCCAATAATGTCTACAAAGGAAGCTACCAAGGAGATCACAAATCAACCAAGATCTTCAGGTTGGCCAGAGCACAGGATCTACTTTGGGTTTTGCATTCTTTTACGTAGATCTTGTTTGTTTGCTTGCTTACATGTTTTTCTGAGGGAAGCAGGAATGGAACCAGGATCTCGTGTAGCTCAAGCAGGCCTGGAACTCCTAAGTGTGGAGGATGGTCTTGAACTTTCAACCCTCCAGCTTTTGCCTCCTGAATACATGCCCAGTTTTATGCAATGCTGAGAATCAAACCCAGCGCCTTACTGAGTTACATTCCCAATCCCATTACCCCCTTACATTCTCTCTCTCTCTCTCTCTCTCTCATGTGGGCTGGGAGGTGAGGGTTGTTTTCTTCTTTGAATTTGTCTTCCACTTTTGTTATTCTACCCTTACTTAAATCTCCCTGTACTTTAATTTCCTTGACTACAAAGTAGGGGTGTCATGAAACAGAAGGTGCCTGCCTCACTGGAGAGAACTGAATGATCACTCTGATCCTGCCGTGTTGTGACTACAGTCACACAGGTTGGAGGTGGCTGCTCCTGGTCCCTGCTGAGGAGGATGCATCCTTAGAAGCAGATGATAACAAGAGCACAGCTGCCTCCCCAGACACTTGGTGCCTTGCAGAGACTGTCTTCTGGGCTATACGGACCATTTTCAATTTCAGTCTGAACAGGCCTTGGGTTCTGAGCTACATCACCCAGCAGGCTCTGTGGACTGAATTTGGAGTGAGCAAAAGGTGAAGAACGAGAGAGTGACTGAAAGGAAGTAGGGAATGACACCTGGCTGGCTGTGTTCAGGGTGACAGAGAGAGGTCCTAAGACCT